TGTATTGCTGTCCCTCTGCCTACTCCCTACCTATTTCATACAGCCTTCCCTTTACCTCCTGCCTATCTCTTCCCAATTGCCTTACCACTGCCTTCTCCCTGCCTTGTTAATACTAACTTTTCCCTGCTTCAACTTTGTCTTTTACATACTGCCTTCTCATTGACTCCTGTCTACCTCTTCCATGCTGTCTTCCTGCCCTTTTTATACTGACTTACTTGCCTCCTGCCTGCTTACTGCCTTCTATGCCACATGCCTGTTTCTTCCATACTGCCTTCTATGCCCATTGCCTGTCTCTTCCATACTGCATTCTATGCCCCATGCCTGTTTCTTCCATACTGCCTTCTATGCCCAATGCCTGTCTCTTCCATACTGCCTTCTATGCCCCATGCCTGTTTCTTCCATACTGCCTTCTATGCCCAATGCCTGTCTCTTCCATACTGCCATCTCCCTGCCTCATGTCATTCTCTTTTCTTCTGCCTTCCACCAGTCCCCCTCCTCCCATCCAAGAGCCTGAACTGCAGAAAAAAACACAGAGGTGTGAAAGGAGCTTTTCTGGTGTAACTAGACGTGAGATTATAGTTGCAGCTGGATCAGGCGATGGTCTCACATCTATTGCCACCATCAGACATCATTGACTGACAGATCTTGGGGAGGAGAGATTTACAAACTTAGTTTGAATACAATCATTTCCCAGAAAAATAAAACAGCATTAGTAATTGTCTGCCTTTCCATCCATCAGTCTGTCTATTTGTCTATATCTCTGTCCATCCATCAAACCATATCTATCTATCTATCTATCTATCTATCTATCTATCTATCTATCTATCTATCTATCTATCTATCTATCTATCTCGCTCTCCCTTCTTGACTATTCAATGATGTCTATATAACACATTACAGATGCAGCACATTAATTTGAAGCATAAACCAGACGCTGTGCTGGGCCTATTGACAAAGGGGCTCTTTCTCTAGTCCTGTAGACCCGGTGTCCTGTGATACGAAGGTCTGGTCTGCCTCACTCACTAAATGAAGTGTTTGTGTATCCTTGATCCGCGGTATTTGCCAAAAGCTACTGAACGCCTCTGAGCGCAGGTCAATATATACCAATTTCTAATCATATACAGAAACCACTCCCAGGGTCCCAGTGCACACCACAGCTCCCCAGCCATTGGGTTTATTCTACAACATTATGGGACCATTACACCATCTTCTAGCATTCTAATGAGATATATAGAAAGCTGGTATAATGTGATACAACCCACTAGCTATGGATGCAGTCAGTCTAAAGAACAAAATGAGAAACCCACCCCCTTCAAAACAATCCCACAATCATTGGTGGTTAGTGACTAGGGATTCACTGATACCAAGTACTTGCCCAAACGCTCTAATACCTTCCTCGATACGGGAACTTCTGGTCATAGGAAGATTTCCTCTGACCGGCAGTGCCATAGGGGAACATGGAGCCAGCTTCCAGTGCGATCAGGAAGCTGGGCGGCAAGTAATGACCCGCCTCCCGACTACCTGATTGACCGAGAAGCCGGCTTTATGTTGATTGGCTGGGAAGCAGGCTTCCCGGCCAATCAGCATCGAGCCCGCTGAACAGCGACCATCCTTCCTGCTGTGTTTACAAACATTCATCTCTCCCCTTACTTCTCTTTCTCTGTTGTGAGTGAACTGAATGTTTGTAAACTCTGGCTGCGGTAGGGTTGCCACTTGTCCAGCATTCACCCGGACAGTCCGGGTTTTGAATGCTGTGTTCGGGTTTCATGGCAGCAGAAACCCGGACACAAGATGTCAGGCAGACAGGGGCAACCAAAATTAAGATAGGGGCTACTGGCCCCCCACTGAAAATAGTCTGGACTGTGATATTTACATATGAATGGGTGGTGCTATGTACATATGAATAAGCCGCAATTCATTCTCCCAAGAAAAAAATGTCCGCACGTCGCTAGGGTGTTCGGATTTTCGCTTGAAGAAAAGGTGGCAACCCTAGGCTGCGTTTACACTTGTGATGGCTGTGATTAGTTCACAGCGATCACATGATACAGAACCCCTCTGATTGGCACTCTACCTTGCTCCTGTGATTACTCAATCTGATTACTCATCCCTCCCCATTACTATTTAAAAGACATCAATACCAGCCGTCTCCCGGTAGGCATTGTTAATGTACAACCTGCTGATCAAAGTGGACCTGAACCGAAGAAGTGAAGATCTTCTATGCTACATGCAGCATCTAGAAATGGTAATTGTGGGTAAGCCGTGCCCTAAAAAATAGTAGCGCACTTCCAGGTATGTGACTGTGCCTACAGCCTCCAAGCTGTATATCTGGAGTGTGAGATCTAAGGCACTGCCGTCTCTGACTCAGGGCCGGTGCTAGGACTTTTGCCAACACAGGCAAAGTTGAATTTTTGCGCCCCCCACCCCGCAACCAACCCCCCCTGACCCCCTGTCGCGCTGGGCCTGCTCCCTATCAGCATGTTTTTTTTTTCACTTACCTTTGGTGCGGGAGAGAACTGCTGATCTCAGGAGAGGGAGCTGTACCTGAAGTGCGAGGATCTCCCTGCTTGTGCTTCATTTATTCCGAGGACGTGTTCTTCCTCCAGCCCTGCTGCTGGATATTTTCCCACAAGTCATCAGATCACCAGTTATCAGGGGGGCAGCTCTGGTATTTGGAAGCAAAGCCCTGCTTATACCAGGATGGCCGCCTCCACACCGAGACACAGCACAGAACAAGGCATGGTAAGTCAGTGTTGGGGAAAAGTCAGCTACAGAGACACAGCCGGCAAAACAGGCGACCGGGTCCATTGCCCTCTGCTTGTCTTTTTGGGCACAACATTCACAGTACAGGTCCTCTTTAAGGGTGTTTCCAATTCTTTACTCTCAGCTCAGTCCACTTCAAATGAAGCCATTTCCTTTCTCTTCCATCTAAGCCACTCCATGCTGACACCCTAGGGACCGCAGATTTGCAGGTAACATTCTACACATACCGATTTCAGGTAATTCTTCAACAGATTTAAAAACCTGACAGAGGTTCTAACCCTTCCCTGCTTTGTTTTTTGTATTGTTTTTTTGCTGTAGATACATTTTAAATGGATCCATTCTTCACCATCCGCATGACATTGTTGCTGCAAGAGTATGTGTGGAGCAAGTACTGATGTGCTTACGAAGCAATGACTTACTATGAATCATCACATTTTTTGTTTAAATTCTTGTTGGGGGCTAAAGGGTCTGTCAGTTCAAAACTGCTATTTCAATATTTGGTGGATACTGAAGAGGTAAATCCCTTGAAGGTTTATTCCGTCTCTCATAGACTGTTTTAGTGAGATCCCTGTGCTGAGCTCCCGGGTCTATACACCCGCTGTGCCCATTATGAGGGGCTCCCACCACCCCTGTGCTGAGTTCTCGGGTCTGTACACCTGCTGCGAACATTATGAGGAGCTCCCCCCCCCCCATCCCTGTGCTGAGTTCTCGGGTCTGTACACCTGCTGCGAACATTATGAGGAGCTCCCCCCCCCCCATCCCTGTGCTGAGTTCTCGGGTCTGTACACCTGCTGCGAACATTATGAGGAGCTCCCCCCCCCCCATCCCTGTGCTGAGTTCTCGGGTCTGTACACCTGCTGCGAACATTATGAGGAGCTCCCCCCCCCCCATCCCTGTGCTGAGTTCTCGGGTCTGTACACCTGCTGCGAACATTATGAGGAGCTCCCCCCCCCCCATCCCTGTGCTGAGTTCTCGGGTCTGTACACCTGCTGCGAACATTATGAGGAGCTCCCCCCCCCCCATCCCTGTGCTGAGTTCTCGGGTCTGTACACCTGCTGCGAACATTATGAGGAGCTCCCCCCCCCCCATCCCTGTGCTGAGTTCTCGGGTCTGTACACCTGCTGCGAACATTATGAGGAGCTCCCCCCCCCCCATCCCTGTGCTGAGTTCCCGGGTCTGTACACCTGCTGTGCCCATTATGCCCCCAATAACTATTAGAAAGTCAAACTTTTAAAAAAATATAATGGTGGATGGCCAGCTTTAGGTTACATGGTTAGACATATCCCTCGAATTCAGTCATGTTTATGGGATAGGATGAAGGTGTTGGGTGAACAGAGAGGTTTAGAGATAGGGAATAGGGATAAGGATTAGGATGAGTAAAAGCGATCAGGGTGACTGATCTGTGGTCTGTAGCACCCAACCCTCCCTCCACTCCAATCCTTATCACTATTCCCTATCCCTAATCCTTATCCCTAATCCCTATGCCTAACCCTTATCCATATGCCTAATCCTTATCGCTCTCCCTAATCCTTATCCCTATCGCTAATCCTTATCCCTATCCCTAATCCTTATCCCTATCCCTACACCAATGGAGCTGTACATGTCCGCTTAGGGATAGCGATAGGAATCCTTATCGCTATCCCTAATCCTATCCCTAATCCTTATCCCTAATCCTTATCCCTATCGCTAATCCTTATCCCTATCCCTAATCCTTATCCCTATCCCTACACCATGGAGCTGTACATGTCTGCTAAGGCAAGACATGTACCAATCTACCAATCCCAACCACAGAAACAAGACCCATCCCCTATTCCCTTAAGGGATAAGGATGAGGGATAAGGAATAGGGAAGGGAATAGGGATAAGGATTAGGGAATAGGATTAGGGAATAGGGATAAGGATTAGGGATTATGGTGAGGATAAGACTCAGTTATTGATTATTAGTGATAAATGAATTTCTTGTGTGATAAGCCCACCAGGCGCCGAAACCTCTCCAGATAAAACATCCATTCTTATTTTTGGCACAGAAAAACCCGCCCCGGGAGTCTGTGGTGTCGGGTTCTCAGCAAATTAGCTCCGCTCCATCTACTTTCCTTGCTATCCCAGGGAAGCTACTTCCATTAGAGTCAGCACAGTTGATTGCAAGCTCTTGGCCCGTTTCTTCTCTCACCCTTACAACACAACCGCACGCCTCACAAGATGAAGAAAAGGAATCGCAGTGACGTCTAAGCATCACCTTACCTGCGCAGGTCATTGAGCCGGTAGGTCTCCTCCTGCAGGTAAGTCCCCAGGTGCTCTATCAACACCTTCTCCGTCTCCAGAGCCTGCTGAATATTCACCATGGAGCTGTACATGTCCGCTAAGGCGAGCTCTACCAATCCCAACCACAGAAACAAGACCCACGTCCATATTCCATCCCGGAAAACCACATTGGGAGAGCGACAGCCACAGATCTGCATCCTGGACCAGGAGATAGCGATGCCTTGTATTGGATGGGGAAGAACCAAGCGTACCATGCAACCAAAGGGCACAATTATGAGGAGATCCTCAGCAGGCAGCAAGCTTGCATTAGAGAGAATGAAGCATCTCCATGTGCTGGGTGGAAGCTGGCAGGCAGCTCCTCTCTGTGGTCTGAGTTCTGGCAGCTCCTCAGCAGCAGTCTAATAATTGTGGGATAGCCCAGGCTGGGGAGGAGGAGATCAGCCCCATTCATTCCCCTTTCCTCCCCATTCATTCCCCTTCCTCCGCTTTCTCTCACATCGGAATGCCACAAGTCAGTTTGTTCCTTGAAACTGCTCCAAGGTGCGAGTTTTGAAGCACCAAAGATCTGAACCTAACCATTAAAATCTCACATCACCTTTAACATGTTAAAGCCCAATTGGACCCTCCTGATTTATTACTGTAATGCAGCCAGGGTGCAGATGCAGAAATCAATCTGGAAGGTGCTGCAGCAAGGGTTAAAGGCATAGTCCAGATTTTCCCCCAAAAATAAAAAAATGTGCATTTATTACATTTTTGCATTGGAGCCTGCAAAGCATTGAGAATGTGATTGGTGGGTGCAACGCTCTGGCTCCTGCAGACTGTTCCTCCAGCCCCTGTCTGTACCCAGGTAGGGTTTTTCAGTTTTGGGAGGAAGTGCTCAATGGACTACATGTGCGGAGATGTCACCACAACCCATTGAGAACTTTAAGTCCCTCTGCCGCGATGCCTGATGGCAGAGGCGTCCCGAGGGTGGGTGTCACCCGGAGCAGAGATCGGGTGACACCCCGCCGCAACGTCATCCCGCATGCGCATGATGTCACCATGCGCGATGATGTCACCCATCTATTTGACACCTGCCGGTGGCCATCTTGGTGATGGACGCAGGCAGAGAAAGGAGGGGACGTTCACCTGGCGGGATGAGGTATGCCGCCGGGTCCCCTCCTCTCTCCTGACACTCCATGACCAAGTGCCCGACTTTCAGTCATTTTGGTGTCACCCCTCCAATGGTGTCATCCAGGTGTGGGTCGCACCCCCGCACCCCTTCTTGTGACACCACTGAGGAGGATTCAGATGAGCTGTGACCGGCCGCCATACGCCTCCTATGACATAATGGGAATTAATGTATGACAGGAAATATCTGGTTGAGAGGTACAGTGCATGAGAGAGGCACAGAATCCACATGGAGGATGAATTATTTCACATCAGAGGCCCGGGGAGATCCTGATATTGTAACTTCAGGCCAGGTTCACACTAGGGCGATCAGTGACCGCGTGGCAATCGCGTATGAAACTGCGCGGTCACAGAATTGCACACCACTGCCGATTGTGCTGGTGGTACCATTATTTTCTAATGGCACCCCAGTCGCAGAGGAGGGGACGTTCACCAGGCAGGATGAGGTATGCCGCCGGGTACCCTCCTCTCTCCTGACCCTGTCGGGCTCTCGGTCCATGACCGAGTGCCCGACTTTTCAGAGGGGGTGACACCAAAATGACTGTCAGTTATTTTGGTGTCACACCTCCAATGTGTCACCCGGGTGCGGTCTGCACCCCCGCACCCCCTTGTGACACCACTGCCTGATGGGACTTGTAGTGTCTCCATTCACAGATCTTGTAAATGGACTTGTGAATGGGTGATGCGACTGTGTGGGTGGAGCCGTGCCACATTAAGAAATTGTCAGCAGTCTGCACTGTTCAGGATAGGTGTGTCAGATCGCAGAGAGCCGGGCCGCTGCTTTGTACGAAAGATTGGCAGGCTGACTCACCACAAGGCATTTTAACCCTTGCTGCTGCACTATCCAGTTAAAGGAGATGTAAGGTCCCAGGATATCCTCTCCTGCTGGCTGCCACCCTTACCCCCACACTATGATTTTTTTGATTAAAACAGCTCCCTCCCAAAATAAAAAAGCTCAGGCGGCAATAATCACCTTTAGTCCGGAGCTGTCTCCTGCAATACTACTTATTGGCCACAAGATGTCCTCAGTCTTCCAGGATGAATGATGTCCAGTGTCACTCAACCCTGAAGATTGAGGATATTCAATAAATGAATGGGTGTCATGGCCAGGCCCCCTCTGGGCACATACGGTGCGGGAGCCTTCAGTGGGGAGTAAAGTAATTGGGTGGTCCATGTGGGGCTTTAAGAGTTTGGCTTTAAGATAAAAATCCAGACAATTTTATTTTATTTTTGGGTAGCGCAAGGAAGGATTAGACCAGGGGTACTCCAGCTGTTATGGAACTGCAAGACACATGAGGCGTTGCAAGGCTGACAGTTACAAGCATGAATCCCAGAGGCAGAGGCATGTTGGATTTGTAATTAAAGCACAGCTGGAGGGCTGGAGTTTTACACCTGCTTTATAGGAACCCTTTATTTGTAGATCAGGGGTAGGCAACCTCAGCAAGTCCCATGAGGCATTGCAATACTCTGACAGCCACAGGCATGGTCCCTAAATGGCATCCCACATATATGATATTATTGGACTTTGGTGAACTTTGGGGAATAACAGGTTAACTCGGCAGTGAAATTGAGAAGGTTTTTTAAAACATTTTTTTCTGCCCATCCTGAAAATAAATACTTTTGGCTTGCTGACAGACGTGACCTGTGACCTGGAGGTGCTGGTGACCTTTCCTCTGGTGGTCAGAGGATTTCCTGCAGAGAGGAAGTCACACTTCCCCCCCTTTCACTCCTCAGTATGAGTGATGATGAATTGTGGAAGTCTGCTGACGCCATCTAGTGGACAAATGGGAGAGAAACACCGGATCTGTTTTATTCTTAAAATCCCACATTTAGGGCTCATTTATACTGGTGTAGACACCCCCCAAAAAATGGCCCTATTTCTGCACCCGGGGGTCACAGGTGTTTCATGTGGCTTCCTGTACTAATCAATAACTATAAGTTTATAAACGCTCATACGCCCAGGGGCATACTTCCATACCTGTACACATGCATACGCTCGGATAAACCTTTACCAGCATATAGCCGCAGCCTGTCATTGGTTTGTAAGGTGTCCCCTGTGTCCATGTGAACAGCCGTTGCCCTTATGGTAGATGTAAACCCAATACATACAAATAAAGTATAATACAAAATGTAACATGTTAATGTATTTTCCAAAGCGATCAATTTTTTTAAAATTTGTAGTTTTTATTGAAATAAACTCTGGTGATCACCTCCTCCCTCCAGATATTGTCGGGCATTTTGGTGTCACCCCTCCAATGGTGTCACCCGGGTGCGGGTCGCACCCCCCTTGTGACTCCACTGTCCTGCCATAGGGTCTTTGTTCAGGCACTTCCTGTTATAGGGTGTCAGCGCTCAGTCCCTGGCTCCAAATTGTGCTGCTGCGTTGTCACCCTGTCACAAGCACTCCCAATGGAGACTACAAGTGGCTGTTAACTTAAATGACATTCCGTTAGCCTAAATGGCAGGGCAGGGCGCAGAGGGGCGGCAGCAGTGTCCTTGTGGGGAAGTTGCCCTCTCTACATTTAGTCCTGCTTTGCACAAGCAGAGCTAAATGTAGAGTGAGGAAGCCGATCGTTCGTTTACATGTGATCTCAGCGATGTCGCCGTAAAAATGTAAACAGTGTGCAGCCTCCCGCCCTCCCCCCTGCACTTACCTCTCTCCTCTGGTTCCGTCCTGCGGTGCCGAGTCTCTACTCACTGCAGTGAGCAAAGCGGCAGGGTTAAAAGTAATTGCGGAACCTGGCCTTGAGGCAGCAGGGAGAGTAAATCCGGCCATGGCCAGGTTAGAGATTATTGTGGGGCAGGATTTTACTGTTTATTGTGTCCCCATTAGGAAAATTTCCCCTCACTTCCTGTCTTGTTGACAGGGTGTCACAGGGATGGGAAGGGAGGAAATGAGGAGTTACAACATGCAAAATAACACGCATACATGTAAAAAAAAATATTTTATTATTAAATAGTAATAGCAAATAGCTCATAAGACACATGCTTGTGAATATAGTTACCTTCTTTGTAAACAAATTCCACCTCTACAATAAAATTATTATTTTATTCAATCTTATTATGCACATAGCCAATAAAACAGTTGACCTTTTTAATAAGGGGCAGTAAGGGGCAGTTTTAATCTGGGATAATAGGCCTAACCAGTGTATACCAAACTTTTATCTCAGTTTTGTGGGACAAAGCAGCCATCAAAACAGATTGTCAACAAAAAAATATGCTGCGCTTTGAGCACCCCTAGCTCAAAAAAGATCCTAACAGCATAAAATAAAAATGAAGCCCCAAAAGAAACAAAACGCCCCCAAAAATTTAGTAGCAAGGACATTTTCACGGAACACCTTAATACAATGATTTGGAGGGGTGTCCCAATACTTTTGGCAATATAGTGTAGTTTGGTCTACACTGGCCAGAAACACTTTACTGATGAAAACCAGTCGATTTGTAAATGTTTTGGAGCGTCTTCCTTGATCATCTTTTGCTGTTTAGGAAGCAATGAAGGTTTTTCAGGACTTCTTGTCTAATGTATTTCCTCAGCAGTTCATCTCGGAGTCCATAGATGACAGGACTTAGGAATCTCGGTAAACAAGTATAGACAAAGAAATTGACTAAAGGTAAGAAGTCAATGAAATTGTAAGGAAATGTTTCCGTCAGCACAGAAAGCAAGGAGGCCATGCAAAGGCAAAGCTGGAAAGCATGAAGCATTATGGTCTTACTGGCCTTGGAGGCCAAAGATGATCTGGAGCTTATTTTGTGGGCTATGATGACTATCTGGATGTACGTACATATGATGATAAGCCCAACAATGGTAAACAGTAACACAAGGCTTAGGAGACGTAGAGTATTTTGAAACGGAACCAGGATCACGGTTTGCTGCGTGCAAATTACGTAAAGCGAACTAAGCTTATTGCTGCTTGTACTGAGGACGACAATGATTTCACAAATATACGGGGTGGAGCCCAACACCCATATGAGTAGGATGGCAACCTTGGCCATCTGGACGCTGCAGAGCTTGTAGTGCTGTAAAGGGAAGCATATGGCCACGTACCGTTCCAGAGCCATGGTGGACAAGGTGTATGGCGTTGCCTTGAAGGTTGCCGAAGACAGCGTGACCAGTGCATAACAGATCGGCCCAGGGATCGGTGCTCTAACGATGACGGCAAACAGCATAATCAAACCAAACACGAAGTACACCGAGTCGTTGATGAGCATGTGGACGAAGAGGATATAGCGCGCGTTTTCCTGTAGTTGCGGCATTCTGAGGAAGACATTTAATGTCACAGCCACAAAGTAGGCAAAGAAGAAAAAGCAAACGATGATCATGAAGCCCACTGCCAGTCGCACGTTCCAGTTGTATTGGGGAACGGGGAAAGCGACCTGTGAGGCGTTGGTAGAAAAATTTGTTGAATTCAACATTGCTTCAAGAAACTTTTGGACGATTTCTTAAGGGACCGTAATATACAGGGGTACAGGTACTCCTAGAATGAGATCCTAATAGGTTGGACTTGATGGACTAATGTCTTTATTCAACCTCAAATACTATGTAACTATGTAACTATGTAGCTTCAACATAGATGATCAATTGTCACACCCGGAAAGTTCAACTGCTAGAAGAAGAGAAGAAAACAAATGAGACATTTTTAACACTGTTAAAAAAAAGGGAAAACTTAAAAGAGAACTCCTCTGTGTATTACATCACTTCCGCATTCACCTGTCAGTCATCTGGCTGCTATAGCCAGAGAAAAGAAGCTGATGAAGCAGATTCAGGAAATGTAAAAATTAAAGTGACTCTAAACTCAGGAGTTAAATCTTAAAAATACATTGTTACCTTAACTATTAACTAAAATGTATCTTATTTGTGTATCACTCGGCTGTAGATCCTCCAATCAGCTCTGAATTGGTGCTGACACTGTCCTTCCTTCTGGAGGGGGGCTACGTCTGTTCCCCATGGTCCCAGTGGGTGTTGTAAAGTAGTCACCGCTTCAAGCTTGCTCCCGGGATGGACTACAATCTCAATACAAATTAGTAAACTAAAATAAAAATATAGGATTGGGGTTTAGTGTTTTAGTGTTTTTTTGAGGGAGTGATATATTTTATTTTTATTTAACTTTGCAAGGAGAAGATTTTGTCTAGGGGCATGGGTAGCTTGCATACTGAAGGGAGCAGCTGTCCTGTTCCTCTGGATGGCTCTATCCCATGGGTGTAGGCCACTTCTACGCCCAGGTACAGTCCACAGAACTGCAGTATGGCCCCTTTCTCACACATCTGAAGCTAATAGCACCTATGTGATTTGCTGCCACCCCCTGCATGAGGACACACATGAATCTGCACCACAGTGTTTGGTAGAAGCAACACCTCCATTATACTAGTTGACAGCAAAAGGCCTGCACTCCTCCTCCTTATTCTTCCATTTTCACCCATCCCACCACTCCACAAGATTCTCCAGATTCATCCTCTGCAACATCTGTGGCCTCAAGTGACAGGGATGGAAGTCTCACCAAGGGTGTTAGAGGCTTACCTTACAGGACATCAAGCAGAAGAGGGGGTCAGCATGGAACCACAATGAGTAGGGCCAATCATAGTGTTGAACCTGGCTGTAGGTCTTCAAACCCTCTCCCACATCCGCCACCTCTAGGTGTTTCCCTAAACTGCATTTGCCTTGAACCCATGCTCAACCCAACCCTCATCCCTACTGTTAACTAAGTATCAGATTTCTGGCAGGTGACACACTTCTACTGCAGCTCCATATATCACTTTTCCATTTTACAGCCTCCTCATTGGACAGTGAATCCAATCTTGCGATAAATCTATCATAAAAAAAGTCGCCTGCAGCTGAACTGTATATACGAGAAGCTCAAAGATTCCTCCCACCTGCTTCTACATCCTATAATGACAAAGGGGAGGTGGGAAGAACCACCCAGCGGGGGGACACAGATATTCCTGGCAGTGTGGAATGATGAAGACTTTGCTCTACTGCTTATTACCTTCCCACCTTATATATAGAGTTGGGCTTTCTTAGTGGTTTTTGTGGTGGAAACGTGCTTGATCACGCACCCCCAACACGGAAAAAGAGCTGCCACCGACAGCTCCTGGTCTCAGGCTAACAATGAGGAGTCAGGATGACCGACTCCCAATCACATGATCACTGTGATAGCCAATCATAGCGATCACTAGTTTTAGAAACCTCCCCTGTATCTCTTTATTTTGTTTTTTTTTGGGGGGAGGGGGATCACTTTAAACTGCCAACCGCAACCACATTCATACACACACTAGAGCCAAAAATGAAAGATTTCAGGTAATAGTCTAGTAGATTTTGGGAATATTTGGAGCTTTCCCTTTAGTCTGAGCTGTACAGCATTGTCTTCTTTAAGGCTCCTGTAGATGGACTTATTTAAATGGCTGTTGGAGCACTCCCATCACCCTCCCCTGGGGTCTGTGGCAGGTTTTGTCAAGCTGACTACATGTCCCAATAGCACATATTCCTATTCCGATGCTTTGCACTGCAGCCAATCACACGTGTAAAGTACAAGGCCTCTGCCCATAAGGGGGTCAATGAATCCTATACATTGAAATGGAGGGTCATGGTTGCACTAAGTTTTGCCAAATGGAAGTGGGCCTGGGGCAGACTCTTAAAGGGTAGAAAGGTGAGACAAGTTTTTTTTACATGCTGACTTGTGAGTGTGCTATGATACCTTTATTGCACTCTATGCACGTTTGGCACTTTTTTATTTTAAATACTTAAAGGGCATCCTCTGAAGCACTACAGAAGAAGTTATTTACATATCATTAATTTCATTATAAAAGTGCAGCTTCACTATACACATACTGGCTTTGCTTGTAAATGAACGGATACAGCATTGTAGCACTGTACAAGTAATGATGTCCCTTAAAGTGCATGTATGGACAAGATTTAAAAAAACGATATACAGTACATCTGTGCAATACATGCACATTTCCCGTGTACTGCAGCTTCAAAAATTTTGCAAGTACACAAAAAGTACCTGTTGACCCTGCCAGAAATCTAGTAAGCTCCTAACTTCCTGTGCACTCTGCCTCTCCTGCACTGCAAGGTCAAAACGTGTTATCTCTGCCCAGTTTTATAGTCCACTGCCCAGTTCAAGGGACTATAAAATACTCCTTTCTATGTTATGAACATGGGGCAAGGAGTGGAGTTTTCTGTAGCCCAAACTTGGAGCAGGCAGCCTAGGGTTCTGGATGGTGCTCCAGAACCCCTTCTAGCATGTATTTGCGATATAAATCCCATTTGTTTAGGAAACGGTGCTGTACTTTAATGTGCGGTTTTGGTGTTGTTGGTCCCTCACCATAACCTAAGTTGTCTAATTGAAGTATGCATGTGCTCACTCACCGGCTCTGCTTGTGGATGGACGGATAGAGCAGACAGCTCAGGATCAGTCTGGTCCCTCTACAGCAAATAGTAATGTCACTCTAGGTATTTATATGCTTTATACACTACGTTGTATCCTACTGGGTCTTCACCATGATCAGCGCCGCAGTGCCGCAGGCACCGGGATTAGTCTACACGCCTGGTTGCCCCAGAAGCAGGTCTCACGGGGACAGTCCATAGTGTTTGCCAGATGTTTAGTCCTTAAGAAGGAAAAAATGCTTTACAGACCTAAATGAAATTGTTCACACTCATGTACTGAATTACAGCAATACATAGAGAAGGGAGCCGCTGACATAAAAGACAAAGTTACATTAAAATGTTTAATTTTTTTTCTAGGAATATAAAATATTTAATTTTACAAACATTTAATACAGGGTGTGCACAGTGAATGCCTAGGGTATTACAGATGGTACCAGGACTACCCTTTTAATGAGGTATCTCTTTGGGCGACGATGGGGGAGGGGGGGGCAGGCAGAGTGGCATGGCCGCTCTTCTGCACAATGTTTGCAGTGTGCCTGCAACCCCCTTTCCGGCCAGAGTGTCCCAGGTTGCTAAGAGCAGGGTGGGGAGATGCGTAAGGGCCATACACGTCTCCTCGCTCAGCTCTTAACAACCTGGGATGGCCGGCATTCCACCCAGCTTCTGGCAACCAGTGACATCCGACGTGGGCGGGAAAGGCGTTATCACTCAACCACCAAGACACCCCATACCCACCCGCCTTAGGCGGTTAAAATGCTAGGGATGACAATGAATACCATTGTCATCCATGCACAACCCGGGTTGGTTGGGTGGTTGGGGTAGACGGGTTGTGCTACCATGCACAACCGGTCACAGCTCCATCAACATTTTAACACACCTTGTAATCTAGCCTAAGAATCCAAACCATTCATTAACCCCCATAGCTGACATTCATTACAAACCAGGAAAACAAGTAAGCTCCTAACTTCACACTGAATAGATAACAAGCAAAATAGCCAAAAAATGTTATGTTCTTGGAAGGAGGAAATTCTTTGTACTGAGCACAGTTAACAGGAAAATCTTTTATGGAAGGCTCTAGCAGCGCTGAAGCTACTCAGAGACAATTCAACAATTAGTCATAGACCCAGACCATTATACCAACACCAGGCCAGTGCAACCTGAACTCACTAAATAGTGGTTGGCATACCCTACTCTATCTAAAATAATACCTTATGCTTATGCCAACCTCCAAACCCTGATTGCGCCTTGAATTCCATCTTGCAGACTAACCGACCGCCTATCCGTTCCAAATAACGAAGGTTGAGATAATGTTTATTGCTATGCTATGACCCAGCACACCATTGACCTGGAAAGATTGTCCCATTACCAGTGAAACTTGCTGAACAACTCTACCTCAAAGCTGCAATTTTTTTTCCTCCATCCATGAAGAGTGGCCATGGTAGGACCCTAAAAAGGTCTCCTGAACATGTTAAACTAACATGATGCTTGGAGCACATCCCCACTGTGGTGGCCACCAGACGTTAACTAAAGACCTGACCAATGGCCATTATATGTATGAAAAATTAAACTTAACAAGCAGTGACTGCAGCTGCTACCACAGGTCTTACCACTGGAAGGTTCACATTTTCTAGGTTACCCCTTGTTAGGATCCAGAGCGCCTCCAGGTGGCGCTGGAGCTGAGCCCTGCAATTCCTGGGCTCACCTGCAGGATTCTCCAGGCAGCCAGGGGCTGCTAGGTACCAGACCACCACTGGGTGGTGCTGGTACCTGCAGCTCCAGTGCTCACCTGTGGGTGTCTCCCAGCTGCCAGGAATCAGCCCATTAGCTATTGCTTCTGGGAGGGTATTTAAACCCTCCCTGCAGTCTGGACCTTGGGCTCAGGATTCCGTTGCCTTCCCCTGAGTCCTGAGTCCTGAGTCCTGAGTCCTGAGTCCTGAGTCCTGAGTCCTGAGTCCTGAGTCCTGAGTCCTGAGTCCTGAGTCCTGAGTCCTGAGCCCTGTATGCTATCTTGTACCCTGTCTCCTGTGTTGTTACACCCGTTGTATGTTCTAGGTGTCTGGGGTCACATTATTGGTTTATACCTGTTGTGGATTGTTTCTGTTAGTTTGCTAGGTTTATTAAAAATATTTATATATACTATACTTGCCTGGTCCGTGTTTGGTCTGCCTGTGTGGGTACCTGCGCAGGTGTGGGGTCACCTGTGCCGGTATCCCTGCGTTACTGTGTTGTCATAGTCTTAGGGGGTTATTCACGAAGGAGCCGAGGAATCCAGCCGTAGCTTCAGCTGATCCTTTGGCTCTCTTCGGCTGCCGGAGCCCTTCGGTTCACAATAGCCCGTACAGCAGCGAAAGGCGGCTGAGCGGCTCAGCCAAGCCGAAGTGACACCCGAAGCGGGGCGAACGGCCTGCCGAAGGCCGGCCGTAAACCCCGCAAATGACAGCTGGGCGGAGCCAGTCGTGATATCACAGCTGGCTCCGCCCAGTTGTAATGGCAGATCAGCATTCCCAAATGACCTGCGGACGCTGAACTGTCATTAAACAATAACAACGGGGTGGAGCCGGCTGGCTGTGATGCTCCGCCCAGTTGCTATTCATTGGCCGGTACCTGCTAGAAGAATCTAGCAGGTGCTGGCCAATTGGAAACAGTTGGGCAAAGCGAAGCTAGCTGTCACTGCTAGCTCCGCCCAATTTTTTTTTTCTTTTTAAAACAGCTTTATTTATTTTTTCATTTTAAAATGTATTTACATTTAAAAAATATTTTTTCAACCTTTTTAAAAAAACTCTTTTCATTGATTTTCTATTCTGATCGGTACCACGGAGGTACCAAGCAGAATAGCCGAGCTGAATGCTGCTTGGCGCATTTGGCTATTCACTCACTGCCGCTCGGCCCCGTATGAGAATAGAAGCAAACGGCAGCGAGTGAGGTGCCGGAGCTTTGGCTAAGACCGATCCAGATCCAGTAATGTCGGGATCCGTCCCTGCTGCGGCGGTCTCAGTATACCGTGAGCTGTAGCTCGCGATATACTGAGCTTTGGGTCACGGGAGGATGCTAGTATATGTCCTCCCGTGACCCTGAAGAGAACTATGGAGAAAAACACTGACCCCATAGTTCTCCTTTAACCACGAATTGAGAAAAGAAGGTGACATTTTCAAAAAGCAATCAAGAAATGGAACAACCATGGGTAAAGAATGATCCACAATAAAGGCACCCTCTTACCAACTAGGTGTGGGTGAACTGGCAGAAAAGAGAGCAGATTCAACGTGTCCTTTCGCCAATAGGGAACCCTGACCATATACTGTAGACCAATCCATATCACTCCTGCATCGAATGTAGTGTAGGACAATTCCATCATAGATTTACCCAACTTTTGTGTAGGATAAACAAGTTTCTAGCCCACCTGCCAATGATATAATCCCAACTGATGTCACTAGCACACTCAGACCTCACTCTCTTCCTGCCGTGCTGGACCCTACATAGCCAGGGTAAGTTCTCATAGGCTGCAGATTGGTCCAGGCCTCTTCTGGCTGGCCCAGCAATCCTATGGGGATCAGACCAAACTTCTTACCTTCCTGTAGATCTGGCAACAGTCGGGACAGATGTGTCAGTCATTGCAGGCTCTAAGCTGTGCTAAGGTGTGACACTTCTTCCTGGACTGGAGCAAAGCCAAGTGATGTGGTCACCGGCTTCGGCAATTGGCTTGTGTGGGAGAGTGTGGCAGTAAAGTGGACCAATGGTACCACCATAGACAGGGATTGCTCAAAGTCTCAGCGCTAGCTGTGCCTGGCTCTGCCCCACTGGCATGGCTGGAGGATCCCTGATGAGGCTCCAAACATGGCATTGAACTTCGAAGGGCCATGATATGCAAGCAGGTGTAGCGGGTACCTGCCCATATTCCCTAATAAGCATGCCTAGTTTGGTCTAAAACCATTCTGTACCACCGGACTTCAGTTACATTCTCCCAACAGTTATAAAAGGAATAAAACCTAGTGAGTTCTTTGTTTTTTTTTCCAAATCCTCTAACTATGCCTCATGGTTATCTTTACTGCATGGAGGGTTTGTAAAAAAAATGAGGGGTTCAAGGTTTGTGGTTCTGGTTAATTCAGGACCTATAATGCCCTATCTGACCTTTCATCTGAGATCAGCAGGGCTGGTATGGTCAATAATGGGTATGTGACAACCCCCCTCAGTATAAAATGGTGGGTTCCCAGGAGCCACCCTTGTGTGTGTGTGTGTGTGTGTGTGCGCTAGTAACCTGAGTGTGTTTACTGACAAAGCAAGGCAAGCCATTCACCTACTTGTTGCCCCATCCTCCTTCCTTCTCCAAGCTAGTAGATGGACAGCTGCTGTGTTGCCCCCTCCTGTGCTGCCCACCCTCTGTTGTAGAGCGACAATGCGCTGTCCCTGTTAACCTCGTTGTCCTCCTGTGTTGTCGCCCTGTCCCATGTGTTTCCAATGGAAATGGGCATTTCAACATACAAAATATTGCCAAACGTATTGGGATGCCGGCCTTTACACGCACATGAACTTTAATGGCATCCCAGTCTAAGTCCGTAGGGTTCAATATTGGGTTGGCTCCGCCCTTTGCCACTATAACAGCTTCAACTCTTCTGGGAAGGCCTCCACAAGGTTTAGGAGTGTGTCTATGGGAATGTTGCACCATTTGTGAGGTCAGGTACTGATGTTGGGGGAGAAGGCCGGTCTCCGCTCTCCGCTCTAATTCATCCCAAAGGTGTTCCATCGGATTGAGGTCAGGACTCTGTGCAGGCCAGTCAAATGCAGACTGTTGGCGACTTCTGCGCACTGTGCGCTTCACCATGCGATGACGATGACCCCGCTCTGTCATTTTAAGTGGCCTACCACTTTGTGGCTGAGTTGCTGTTGTTCCTAGTTGCCTTCACCTTGTTATAATACCACTAACAGGTGACAGCGGAATATTTAGTAGCAAGGAAATGTCACGGAACACCTGAATCCAATGATTTGGAGGGGTGTCTCAATACTTTTGGCAATATAGTGTATATTATGCAGGCATGGTCCAATGTTGTTACAATGGTTAAACCGTCTAGAGAAAAGCCATGCGGTCATCGCTGGAGTGCATGTAGACAGTGGCTGCTAAACGGCTGCAGTAGATCAATAGCACTGATAATAGCAGCACAATAGCAAATACTTTTATAGAAAGTCTTTTATAGAAATCTTTTTTATGATATACAGTGTTTCGCCAATCTTAATGTCTTGTATTTAGGGTTCACAGCTACCTTATAATCAGTGGATAGAAAGTGTTCCCTAAGATATTTTTTTTGTCATGGAAAATTCTTTAAGGCAGTGAAATGCGAAAGGATGAAGTAGACAATAGCAGTCAATTTACTGAAATCAAATGAGTAAAAAACAAGGAATACTTAACCACTTGCTGACCACGGTGTTACACCCCCTTCCTGGCCAGGCCATTTTTCAGTATTCAGCGCTGCGTTACTTTGACTGACATTTATTCCGTCATACAACCCTGTACTGAAATTACTTTTAAACCATTTTTAGGAGACAGATAGAGCTTTCTTTTAGTGGTATTTACTATATTAAGGAAAAAATACTGAAAATTTTGAAAAAAACCCTTTTTTTTTCTCATTATGTTAGGAAACAATTATTATTACCCAATCTTTTGGTAAAATATAGAAGACGGGGGTCACGTCGGGTAAATAGACACCAAACATCTCAAGCCTTAAAATTGCACGTGCCCGCGAAATCGCAAAAAACTACCATACCCAAAATTGAGATCCACCCCGCTGGCTGATTGACGAGCCTGTTTGTTTTAGATTACTTATCAAGGCCAAACCAGATTACAATTTTACCCTAACTTCTTTATCCTCTAGAGTTTTAAGTCTCTTGTTAAAGACTTCTTAAGAAGTTTCCTTAAGTATTCATCCCGGATCCCATAGATGATGGGACTAAGGAACCTTGGCACACAAGTAAACGCTAAGAAGTTGAAAAGAGTTAAATGTACAAATTGACTCGTTGGAATACCTTCAGTCAGTATGGACAGTAAAGAAGTCATGCATAGGAGTAGCTGAAAGGCGTGGAGCAAGATGGTTTTCCTGGCTTTGGTGGCGGAAGAAGACTGTGAGCTAACTCTATGAGCAACCATCGTGATCTTGATGTATGTGAATAAGATGACAATGGCCACCGAAACAAAACTCAATACAAGAACAAGGTACCTTAAAACATTTTGTAAAGGATTCACTATCAAGCTTTCTTTTCTACAGATGACATTGATATTGAATATATTTGTAAATGATGAAGACATAAGACATAGTTCGGCAGCATATGGGATTACCTGCACTGTACAGATGATGGTAAAAGCCACATTGGCTTTTTGTGGTGTACATAGGACCGGGTATTGTAATGGGTGACAAATGGCGATGTATTTTTCTAAAGCCATGGCTGCCAGGGTGGGTGGGGTCACTCGAAAAGCCATTGAAGAAGCTGTGTACAAAATGTAGCAAATTGGCACGGGGATGTACACAAAATATATGACACCTAGCATCAAAGTGAGACCTAAGAGAAGATACAACATGTCATTCACAAGCATGTAAACAAAGAGTATGTAACGAGCGTTCTCCCGGAGGTGTGGACTGGTGAAGAAGATGCTGAGCATCACCGCAATGAAGTACATGAAGAAAAAGAGGCAAACAGTAGTCAAGAATAGCAAAGTGAAGAAAATGTAATTGCCAGTAGTGTTAGTGAGGAACAGCTGAAACATGTTGCTTTGAAGAACCGATGAGTTCGCCATGGTAGAAAGTTGGGAGCTTGCCTTGGTTTTTTGGAATCCCACAGCTCTACACACACACAAAAAAGAGAGTTTAATTAGAGTGAGTCCTTAGGTCATCTAAAGCCCAGCTGAACTCTGACTTTAAATCTAAATCCATTGGTAGCATGGTGTTTATAGAGACATAGTTGTTACAACCTTTATTGTTAGAGTTCTGCCACTAGGTACTAGGTGGTAGCATTTAATGCTTGCTTAATGTATTGTTCTCTCTAGTGGAATTACCTTTTAAGATTGTTGAAACACTAGTTATCAGCCTGGTCTTCTCATCCAACATCAGTACCTGGCCTCAACCTTACTCAACACTTTTAAGATGAATTGGAACACTAGGTTTAGGCCACGTCTTCTCATCCAACATCAGTACTTGTCCTAAACCCTACTGAACACCTTTAAGATGAATTTAAACACTAGTTATAAGCCAGATCTTCTCATCCAACATCCATACTGAACACCTTTGGGATGAATTGGATCTACTGTGGGTCACGTCTTCTTATCCAACATCATCAGTAGGGTTGAGGTCAGGTACATCATCAGTAGCTGACCTCAACCCTACTGAACATTTTTGGGATGAATTGGATCAATTGTGAGCCAGGTCTTCTCAACCATCATCAATGCTTGACCTCACAAGTGCTCTTTTGGCTGAATGGACACAACTTCCCTTACAGACACACTCCAAGGTCTTCCCAGAAGAGTGGAGGCTGTTATAGCTATAAACGAAGGGGGGCAACTCCATATTAATGCCCATGGTTTTGGAATTGGATGTCCAACAAGCCTATATAGATTTCAAAAACATAAAAAAAACACTTTTCAAACAGGTTAAAACTTACCTGTGTCCCAACTGGGGACTCCCGTCCGAACATCTGAAGAGTCTCGAGCAGCCGCAAAGGGTCTTGGGACAGGCGCATGCGCAGTTCAGATCTTTGGCCGTTAGACGAGGAGAGACACAAGGTAAGTCTATGGAGCAGCGTGCACCGGCACAGACTCCCTGGGACAGGAAGTGCCAGCTAACACAGAGGAGTCAGCGCTGGATCGGAGACCCGCACCAGCGCTAAAAGGACATCTAAAAACTACACGAAAGAAGAAGATGATCGAATCATTTAGGGTAAGTCCCTACAGCAGGATTGGGAAGGGGCAAAAAAAGTTTGACTTTAATGTCACTTTAGGAGTGGCCGCTGTGCCTGCATTAATTCAGTTATTAAAATTCACATATGCAGAGACAAACGAATGAGGATACCTTGATGTTGGTGTGATGTGTTAAAGATAGTCTCTAACTCTAACCTATGAGAGTCTCCATCTTGGAGCACATGTAGCAAAAGATAAAATTGGGTGCAGGAGACTCTCATGGGTTAGAGTTAGGACTCCACTACATAGAGGTGCCTTGGCGACGCAGTGCGGCTTTCACATGTTCTGCAGAAGACGTGTATCCTCTGTTTTTAACCTTAGAGGTGAGACAGGTTTTTTTTTGGTGAGTGTGGTGGGAAACTTTTTGCTGTTGTATTGTTTGAAGCCCATTCCGTGTGCACATTGCTGTAAAGCTGGTGATAAGTTGATGAATGTGTTTGCCATTTGTTTTGCTTGACTGATTTGGTGCAGTGACGCATGGGGGGTTTCAGCTGCCGTTGTAATGTGCGGGGTCCCTTGTGTGTCCCTGTGCCTTTAAGGGGGTTGGGCTACCTCCTGGCAAACCTGCACCCAATTTTATCTTTTGCTACATGTGCTCCAAGATGGAGACTCTCATGGGTTAGAGTTAGGACTGCACTATATATATAGGTGCCTTGGCGCGGCTGTGCGGCTTTCACATTTTCTGCAGAAGACGTGTATCTAAAACCTCTGCTTTTAACCTTAGCGGTGAGACAAGTTTTTTTTTCAAGCTGGCTGGTGAGTGTGCTGGGAAACCTTTTGCTGTTCCCGTGTTCAGTGGGTCGCTGCGTGGCTTCTACTTTTCTAGGTGAGACGCTCCTCAGCTTCTTCCTAGCACAACACAGTCAGTTCATGCACCAAGCAGCATTCAAAATATCAGCTTGAGGTGGGGTGTAGCCGTGAGGGAGCTCCATCCATATTTGCATTGCTTAGAGCTCCCTTGCATGTCCTGTAAAGGTGCCTGGACCGGAGTGACGTCACATTGTGGCTCCTGAGACCTCTACAAGCGAGCTGTACAAACAATGCACATATGGATGGCGCTACAGCACAGCAGCCCACACTGGACCCCAGCCTGAGGACCCACTCCAGTTCTCGTAAATTAAGGAGGCCAGGTGGATCTTAAAAAAAGAAAAATATAAATCTAATTTTTTTGGAGTGTGTGTGTGAGTTTGTGTCTGTGGTTGTGTGTGGTTCTATCAGTGCTTTTGAGGGCTGGTTCCCACTAGTACAGTGCGTTAATCCCACAGTCTAATGCACTGCACCATGCAATTGCACCTGCTGTTCATTCTGGTGTGGGAGCCCACCGGAAAACGTGGTATCCCAATGCCATGCGTTCCATTGCAGTGTGACTTGGGTCATGACTTAATGACCAAGGTCCTGAGGCTACACAGGTTGAGAACCACTGATCTAAAGTGAAGAGATGGCACTCAAAAAAAAGTTTGACTTTAATGTCACTTTAGGAGGGGCCGCTGTGCCTGCATTAATTCAGTTATTAAAATTCACATATGCAGAGACAAACGAATGAGGATACCTTGATGTTGGTGTGATGTGTTAAAGATAGTCTCTAACTCTAACCTATGAGAGTCTCCATCTTGGAGCACATGTAGCAAAAGATAAAATTGGGTGCAGGAGACTCTCATGGGTTAGAGTTAGGACTCCACTACATAGAGGTGCCTTGGCGACGCAGTGCGGCTTTCACATGTTCTGCAGAAGACGTGTATCCTCTGTTTTTAACCTTAGAGGTGAGACAGGTTTTTTTTTGGTGAGTGTGGTGGGAAACTTTTTGCTGTTGTATTGTTTGAAGCCCATTCCGTGTGCACATTGCTGTAAAGCTGGTGATAAGTTGATGAATGTGTTTGCCATTTGTTTTGCTTGACTGATTTGGTGCAGTGACGCATGGGGGGTTTCAGCTGCCGTTGTAATGTGCGGGGTCCCTTGTGTGTCCCTGTGCCTTTAAGGGGGTTGGGCTACCTCCTGGCAAACCTGCACCCAATTTTATCTTTTGCTACATGTGCTCCAAGATGGAGACTCTCATGGGTTAGAGTTAGGACTGCACTATATATATAGGTGCCTTGGCGCGGCTGTGCGGCTTTCACATTTTCTGCAGAAGACGTGTATCTAAAACCTCTGCTTTTAACCTTAGCGGTGAGACAAGTTTTTTTTTCAAGCTGGCTGGTGAGTGTGCTGGGAAACCTTTTGCTGTTCCCGTGTTCAGTGGGTCGCTGCGTGGCTTCTACTTTTCTAGGTGAGACGCTCCTCAGCTTCTTCCTAGCACAACACAGTCAGTTCATGCACCAAGCAGCATTCAAAATATCAGCTTGAGGTGGGGTATAGCCGTGAGGGAGCTCCATCCATATTTGCATTGCTTAGAGCTCCCTTGCATGTCCTGTAAAGGTGCCTGGACCGGAGTGACGTCACATTGTGGCTCCTGAGACCTCTACAAGCGAGCTGTACAAACAATGCACATATGGATGGCGCTACAGCACAGCAGCCCACACTGGACCCCAGCCTGAGGACCCACTCCAGTTCTCGTAAATTAAGGAGGCCAGGTGGATCTTAAAAAAAGAAAAATATAAATCTAATTTTTTTGGAGTGTGTGTGTGAGTTTGTGTCTGTGGTTGTGTGTGGTTCTATCAGTGCTTTTGAGGGCTGGTTCCCACTAGTACAGTGCGTTAATCCCACAGTCTAATGCACTGCACCATGCAATTGCACCTGCTGTTCATTCTGGTGTGGGAGCCCACCGGAAAACGTGGTATCCCAATGCCATGCGTTCCATTGCAGTGTGACTTGGGTCATGACTTAATGACCAAGGTCCTGAGGCTACACAGGTTGAGAACCACTGATCTAAAGTGAAGAGATGGCACTCAAAGGGAATGTTTTTGGGTGATGTCTTGCTAGAAATGCCATATAAAGAAATCTATTATACTTACACTAGTGTTGTTTATTTAACACAGGCGGCAATGAACACTTCAGATGCAGTCAGTCTAAAGCTCCTTTTTGTCTTTGAATCTAAGCTGTTATTTATGTGATCTCTAATCCTTGGGGGGATCCACACCAATAACCTCTAGACGGGAAGTCCAGAACACTTTGATTTCAGCCCACAGTTGTAGGAGTCAGGCTGGGGAATTCTCAGGTTTCCCTTGTGTCACATCCATTGTGTACCAGATGCTATCCTCTTACAGTGTTCCCAGGATATTTTCAAAGTTCTGTTTTAAAAAAAGTCTCTTGTTGACTTGAGAGACGTGTCACTACTAGTCACCTTCTGTTTTTTTTAATAATGCGTGGAAAGAAAGCTTCTCAAACTTTTAGCCGAAATCTAACTTCCAGGACAGTAACCTTTTCCATTTCCATTGCATGGTGGACTGTGATCCCACAGGTTGGCTAGATGTGTTGAGTATACCGAGCATGCCTTATTGATTAAAGGATATTCAAACCCAACAACTAAAATGCTGTGGCTGCTTTAGTTTCTTTTTTTTTTTTTTTTAGGCTGAGAACATTTTCAGTAAGTTACAGAAAATAACTGTTGCCACAAATGCAGTGCCCTTGAACTGATATGTCAAACAAACTTATTTTCTTTCCAAGCTATCTCCTGTAAACTACTTATTCCCCATCCGCCCGTGTAATAGAGATAAAGAGGGCTAGATGTGTTTGTAGCCAAGCCAAAGTGACAACCATGGCTGCCTTTATAGATACAGTAGAGGACAGAGTGTAGCCACCCAGGGACAGAACGTGTGTTATTCAGAGGATAGTATATGTTCTGTATTGTCCTGTCTTCATCAAGCATTCTTGCTTACATACAGATTACATCTGCCTGAAAATTCATTGTA